TAATTGTCAATCAGCTGTTAATTAAAGGTTTTTTTCTTTATAATTAAGACCTTGTCACAAATGCCATGCGTATTCCTTTATAAACAATTAAATTATCTCTGTAATGACGTTCCAGCTTCATTAAAATGGTTCGCGATTATGTAAAGTTTTCAAAAGAAAGGTTACTTAGTTGATTTCATCCATATTTTCCTCATAATTTAATCGGTCGGTCGACACTATAAGCTGATTGTGCATCGTTGTATAAGTTCACAAATAATAAGCAGAATCCGATAAATATTGAAATAGGATAACGAAGATTGTTCATCAGAGTTAAAACAGACAATGAAGGTAAATATACTGATATAAATATAAAAGAATATCCCGAGTTGTAGAAGTGAGTCTAGTTAGTCAGGTGTTTCCGTATTCATCCGAGTCAGGGAGCAGAGCATTGAAATCTGTCAGTCATAGGCACATAAATTGATCACACCAATAAACAGTCAATACATTCCCACGACTATATCTTTTTCATTTAAGCTAGAACAAAAGTACGTAATTGAGTAATTGAATTCATGAGAACTACTGACATTGGATTAGTATGGTACAGCAGTTCAAATGGATGTTTGATTTAATTATCCAAGAAATGTCAACAATCCATAACCATAATACTATGAAATATCTTCACTTATTTCTAGACATTTCTCAAATTTTCTTAAAGCTAAACCACCACATAACGATTCAGGCAAAACATGCAATGACTATACCCTTATTTGTAGTTTAGTTATATAGACCCAAAAACTCTGTAAAATTGCTTGCATTCGTTGAGTGTACTACCAAGAAATTTAATCAGCGATTGAGTAAGCATCTCTCTGTCTGTGAGCAAAGATGGATGGTGGCTAGCAGTGGAATTGAGAACGTGCATTTCACTCTATTTGGGACTCATCAACTGGATATACCTGCATCCGAGAGTTGATTTTCACTCACTAGGATACACATATGCCGTGGAGCACCGATCAATTGCACTTCTTAACATCAAGGGGAGAAATTAAAATAATCAGTACAAATGAGCTTCTCTTCGTGGTTAGGAAATGTTCAGACAAAGACAATACACAACTCTATCTTGGCGCACCTGCTTGACAGTGGTTATGCGATAGATAAAACCAAATTATTTGGAGCGATACATAGTATACTTGGTCTTTTCCCTATCGGATTCAATGTCGATGACCCTAATTTATGTGTCGAGAGAAATCTCGTAAAACTTATATGCTCTGCTTTGCCAGATACGACTTACTAAATAATTTTACTAGCTAGAGGCAGTCAAACTAAGATGTGGCTTCAATTAATAAGGTCGACTGTTAGTTGCGAGATCACCGATAGCCGCAAATATGGCTAACTTGTTTGTTCATTGATTGGAAACGAGAGAAATCTCAAATTGTCCCCAATCACCTACAATCTCGTTGAGATATATAGATAACCGATTTATCATTACGAATGAGATTGAGACGAATTTTCTAAAAACGTCAGCAGTATATCTGATAACACCAAGTACACTACAGAAATCGGATCCACTGATCGCAAACTGCCATTTCTTGACTGTTTGCTTGTGAGGAAGAGTGATGATTGTTTAAACATTGTTATATTCCAAAATCAAACATATTCCGAAACATATCTAGATTACAAGTCATCACATGCTCCTTTTACAAAGGTGAGAGTCGCTACGAATCCGATAACAGAGTTCAGAAACTCGTCTCAGAACTAATTGATAAAGAAGCTGGTTTGGATTTGCTTATGTTTACTTTGATGAATAACCAACCTAGGGACGTTTTAAAAGGAATGATTAGGGTCAGAAAGATAAGAGAAAAGAAAAACTAAGAGAATGGATCAACATAGTTAATCGTCAGAAATCGGAATGACCCTAAAGCACTACAATACGTGTTTTTGTTGTTGAACGAACAATACTCTTAATGCTAAACTAGTAAGGCTCTAGCATACAATATGAAAGAAATAGCAAAATCGAGTCTATGTGACCAAATGTAAAGACTATGACGATGTATGAGTGGACGAGACATCACGATGGTTCAGTGCGCGGGTGAGGAGACACAAACTCTGCCTAAAGCTCAGAAGGATGGAGCCCTACATATATAGACAAACTCAAACAATATACGTAGAAGAGATAGAATACAATTAGTTTCCCGATGGCAACTAGTAATTAATAGATCAATTTCTATTTTATTTCACTTCTTTCATTATGTGGACAATAACTACTATTTTTCATTTGTTCTAATCAGTTAATTTGTCAAATATACGATGAACGATCCGCTTGTTTAACACAACAACACAAATTTACATTTATTTCTCTAGTCATCCTCATTTTATGTATGCTGCGACATGTTGATTTTATGACATCTATCAAATCACTGAATTGCACCAACAATCATAACCAGAGGGATATGAGGTCGGTAAATTTTTATCACATCAAGTCTACATAAACACACATACACATGCTGTCTTATCACAATTTTCCATACTTTTCATACCAAGTGACTCGTACGCACCACAACAAATCTCACTTAATGCATTGTTCACATGATTGGACAATTTGTTTAGCATACAATCGACCTGTGAACTATGTATTTATATTTGATTATCTTCTTTGAAAAAGCTTGCACTAGACTGACGACCAAAACTTCAGATCCATTTCACGTCCTCGTTAATCGCGTACAATACGGTGGACTGAGTGGTTTTTTGCAGGGAATCTTAGTAAACTGTAAAGTCCAGATACTTCGAAACCGACATAAAACAAACACAGTAAATCACCTTCCTTCCTCAGTATCATGATTTATTTACAGTATTGAAATTATCAGCACTCTTACCATCATAAAAGATATATACAACTACTATTGATACATTTATATGTATTATTCACTTTACACATATCGTTGACAACCATTTTCATTTCAATATACCTATTTTACTCACTACAATTATATTCACTCACTGGATAAAATACAATATCATCTAACTAGTACATTTTTACCCACTAAAAAGTCTATATGTAAAGATACATTTTGAGATAACTCAGTATATTGAAATAAGATCTAAGATACAATATGATAACATCCATTATCTATCCACTATTCAAAGATAAGTAATATCGAAATAATGGAGCTCCTATCAATCTATTTGGTAGTGTTATGTACTTTCATCAAATGGATGATTTAATTGCAAAGCATTCATTATTGTTTGAAAATCTCCACCAGAATATTCTACATGATGCAGTCAACGACGACAATAAAAAAGACCCTACAACAAACCATCCAGCTCAAAGAAAATAACACCACTGTAAATAATGGTGTTCAAAGTGAATATAATACCATTTTACTATGTATTAACGTCGTCTCATCATTGATCGAAACAAATCCAAGATTTATTTCTTACAAAAAGTGATATCATTAGTTCAATTTATCTATCCTATAGTTTATATGATTAATAAAGAAACATGGGGAAAAAACAACCGAACAAACATTTTTCAAAGGTTCTCTTAATTAATTAATTGAATCACATCATAAATTAATAATTAATAATAACTTCTCATTAAACAAACAACTTATCAAGGAAGTAGTAACTAGAAAAATAAAACTTTTTTTCACTAATATTAGTTGATAAAAACAAAATTACAAGGAAATAATAATGTTTTATGTTACAATTCAAAAGGATGTTGCTACAAATCTGTTTTCTTTTTACTATTCCTTGTCTCTGTTTATGTGCATGTATGTGAGTAAACTGTGTACAGTGTTAACTGGTAAATAGGGTACTATTTCCACAGACGTTGAATGTAATAAAGATGGTGAGAGATTAAGGGAACTTTTATTTTTAAACAGAACATCAACTAAATAAACCATCACCACTTGTACTAATAAGAACATTTATCTAATTAATACGAGATCAGTTCATAATAATAGTAATGATAACGAGGGAGAAAAGCAAATGTTTTTCTATTCTGTGTATGTGCATATGTGTTTACAAGCGGATGTGTTGAACGAAAAAAAGAACAAAAACAATAGAAATCTAGTACATAAATGAAGAAGTGAGCAGAAAAAATCAATCAGTTCGCTCAAAATGAATGAGGATACAAACAAGAAGTTACATTAATGATTTGTGAGATTTAGTTTATTCTGTTCGTTCTTTTTACTTATAAAAACAGATTTTTTAATCATAAAATATTTATTAATAATAATAATAATATAATAAACTAAATTCATACTACAAATGTAAATATATACATGAGTAAAGCAGAGATAGCACCAGCAGCGGGTAAGGTTACCAACCATGCAACTAGAATATTACGAAATATACCCCAATTAACATTGTCTCTAGAACGTGCACGTCCAACAAATACGACTGAACCAACTTTACAATGTGTAGTTGATATTGGCAGACCAATTTTACTAGCAATTAATACAGTTAGGGCTGAACCAATTTCAATACAAACACCACTGATAACAAAATAAAAGAATAATGATACTAATCTTATTAATAATAAAAATAAACAATTCAGTGAAAATGTATAGTAAAGAATTAGTGAGTTTTCTTGAACTTCCATTTTCATACACTTACGCCCGACCTATATATAGTGTATATAAACGAAACCAATCCAACTATTTCTACAAACGCCGTACCAATAATAGTTGTGTTCAATAGTGACAAATTTCCAAGAGTTCCAATGAGAAGGCGTGACCAGTCAAGTGTGAGATAGTTACCCATCACAGGAAATGGATTGTGGTTGCACAATATCGCTAATTGATTGCAGTTGGTGTAAACCATTAGATGCAAGCTCAGTGGTCTGAAGGTTAAGTGCTCATCTCAAGAAATTAAGTTCTTAAACTTGATCCTCAGTGGGGTTAAGGATGCTCATTAACGAGCAGTCCCATACCGGTTGCTTAAGTAAAATTAACCCGTGATGTAAGCTATGAACATTTAAATATCCCCATAAATTCCTTCAAAAAAAACGAACAGAAGAAAAGGGACACAACTGTCTCCACGTCTTGATCGCTGAATATTAACTAAGTGACTAGCTGAAAAGTATTGTAAGTTATTGAGTATTGCATACCAAAAAACTAAAAAATACTAAACACTCGTTATAATTTCACTTTCTTTGCATCCCATCAGATGACTCTCACAGAGGACACAAAGTACACTATAAAAAAGATGGCACTAAAAAGCCACTTTATGGTGCACTGTCTGAATTAAATAAGATGTCGATTACTGAAGAAAAGTTCTTGTCGACTACATCCCACCACTACAGTAATCCAACATTCTTCTTTAAATTCGTGTTTTTATTTACTGTTGTTCCATCAGAGAATGATTCTTATGACGTAAAATAAGGTGTCAGTTGTGAAAAACGATTTCATAGATCAAGCAAATAGAAACATTCGAATAAATATGAAAAATGAAATATAAATTACAACCAAAACTATTCAAAGTGATCGAAAGATGGTATTAAACACGTACAATATCTACAATAAACATATTTCTGTGCAAAAAGATCACCCACCTACCTGGAAGGTGATATTTTCGTCAGATCTTCACCTAATGTTTGGATAACTCGTCTACCCCATATCCAAAGACCAACTGATATACCAACACCACCATAAACCAAAATCCAAACATCTGTAGTTTTCGATGAATCAACTGATTGTGTTGTAGCAATAAGCCATAAACCAATCAACGGCCCGATAGCATTACTGCATAAAAAATAATTCATAAAAAACTGACATGTTAAGTGAATTGTTTAAACATGGACTTCATGTTTTATAATGGGTTAGCAGTGAAACAAGTTTACCACTACTATTGTTTTGAATGAGCAGTCTGAAAATGATTATGACTACCATTCTTCCTCAGGAAAACTTTGTATGATTCGAATGTTCACCACGGTATCTTTAAATAACCGAATGGGTGACAGCATATAAAATTTATGTTAGTTTAGCCTAAAGCGGATTTATACTTTGATATACTAGAAATTCATAAAAGATCCGTAATTCAAATCTAACGTACAAGTATCTCATTTCATTTAAGAAAGCTTTAGACCCTTACGTATTCCACATTTCAATTCTAAGAAGCATAGTTCCTATTGAATATGCTTTCTCGTTTAAAAATGTGATATTACAAATGGTGTATGAAAAAGAAGGGCATACATATATGTCATTCATTTTATGTAAAAAGATGTGCAAACGTTCAGGATTACTGTGATCTCCTAAAGGATAAAAGAAATTACAGTTCTGATCGAACGTGAACAGAAAAACAACGAAACCATGACAGACAACGGAAGCTATTTATGGAGACGTTATTTCGGTTAATTCAAACTTGGTAAAATACTAACACTTAGTTTTGTCTCTAGCTTACTCTATGAACCATGAGCTTTCGTTTGATGTATGATTCACTACCACACACTTTTTACACTGATTTGCATTGGGACGTGGCGATCGGAAATAAATCGAGTAGTGTTCCTGAAGGGGCTTTGTTCTCTGAGCTGGACGAAGCTATATGACGGGAAGAAAATCCGAAATCCTATTGATTTACTCATTATGAGTTTTGTTCAACGTTACTTCCATTTTGACTCAACGTGATGATTATTCAGGGTAGTATTCGTTTTGTTTTCTCGTATGATATTTTATTATGTATAATATACGATATTCTTGTATTCAATTGATATGAACTATGCTCAGTATCTGATTTGTTATAAATGAGTATTTATATATATATGTGCTTTCATCCTAGTTATTATTCAAAGTGTGTGTAAAATTAATATATAAATGTGAGTGTATCTTCGACTAGGGTCGTCGTCGTGTTTTGGGGGGTTAATAATTCATCACTTATACCAGTCTTGTGTTTTTGCATTCGCGTCGTGGGAATTGCAGAGGTCTTTCGTTTCGCGTATAACTGATAAGTGTTTCCAACACAACAATCAGCGACGACCAGATACAAAAAGTAGCATTCCAACAACAAGACATATCACGAAGACATTCGTGGAGAAAATACAGTTGTTCTCGAGTAGAAGCCGGCCATTTCCATAAAGTCTCTTATTCCAATTGACTCGTCTTCTCTCTCGCTTGTCCACCAATCACGTCATAAGATGGTTTTCGTCCCTCTGCTCAAGGCTGTTAGTTTTAATTTGGACTCATACATTTCTAGCCTCAAGATAAAACCAGTTAGCCTCTCGTGTCAAGGTCTTAATCTACATCGAGGCATGTTCTCACCCGTATATTATTCGGTAGACAGATTAAAGACGTAACACGAACAATGCTGAAATTAAATTAGGTTTCTTCAAACAAAAACACAGAGCATTATCAAGTACCTAAATAACCTCTTCGATTTTTTGTTAAAACTATATACCAGTGTCAAACAGAGATTATAAAAATCCTCTTTCGTTTTCAGAAATTGCAGACGATTATTGCTTAATAATAATAATAATAATAATAATAATAATAACAATGGATATCAGAATGAACATCATCACAGATATTTTCCATTATCTTCTTCTCAAAATGTAAACTGCTCTGATTAGCAACATGATTATACTTTACAAATCATGAATAATGTTTTATTTACTAAAGAAATATTTTACTGTATTATATCTATTTCAATAAAAACAGAATTCCTAACAGAAAGCAATATTAAGAGCTTTAAAATCTATCATCAATATCTTTAATAGTAAGTGTTTATGACGTCCAGACGTATTTGTTATCAGTTGAATAAATTAGTTACTATTGAATAACTTGGCAATGACAGATAGCTACAAGTGATGTGAGTATGAACAAATAGGACATGTTCAATCATTTCAATTATTCTTTTCCAGCAATTTTTTTCTGATAATCCTACACAGTAGAAACAAAGTGTTAACACTGAATACATGCAAAGAGAGTAACTGTCAAATGATAACTAGGAATAATTTAACCATTGTGAAAAATCAAGCTTTCTAAACTGGTCTCATGATAGATATTATCTTTGTAATATCTAGAATTTTCTAGATTTTATATTTCATCTCCTAAAATAACGTCAACTGATTTCATTTCGTAAGCAACTACCAAATAAGTATAAAATGAACAGACTGTAACGTGTTACACCATTTCTTGAAACTCTATTCAGTTGATGAATGCTAATATTCCATTGTGGAGATTCAACTCATTTTTTATACCAATTATAAATAATCTTAGGTTCTGATTACTGAGTATACTTCAATGGTAGTAATATAAGTGAATTTTTCTTATATACACAGTTTGATTTATTGAAAAAATATGTTAAATATCCATACCTTACATCATTACCACCATGAGCAAATGATCCAAAAACAGCTGTTAAAATTTGTAAAGAAGAGAAAACTTGAGCTTCAGCAGGACGATCTTTAACTGAATCGATAGGATCTGGTTCCTATATCCAGAAGAATGAGTAATAATTAAGTGAAGATTATATGTAGCAAAAATATTAACAATGCATTTCATGTGTTATACGTCACAATATATAGGCTTAAAATTGGTCTGATCATTCAGTTGAAACAAATGATATCATGCAAAATACTTATTTGCAGAATAGTTCAGACTGCTTCTTTTCAGCATGGTTTCATTTAATCCCACACAAAATAGACCTAAAACATAACTCTTCAATTGCACTGTGAATACAAGGTATCTAGGGTAATATCCACTCTCGGTTCATCGCCAGTTTGGAAAACAAACGATTCACAAATGCAACAGAATTAATTAATATGATCTCTGAAGTTAGAAATTTCTCGACTTTCATTCATCCCGAATACCGAAAAATTCCCATCATATTGAAACATAAGTGAACAAAGAATATACAAATTATTAATCCAAAAGGTGGCAAGGTTTGGGAGAAAATACATCGTTTAAAAATTATAGCATGTGAATTTAGGATTATTTCCAATAGAATATAAATAATATTTAAACAAGGAGGAAGATATGTAATAAAAAACGAATCTAATAACCACAAGTTACCTTGCAGCACATCATGTATCTTTCACTGTATGATGGAGTGACCCATATAAACTTGAGTCATAAACATAATCAAACTTTCGGCTATATCATGAATTAGTACGATAGACTTCTATAAACTGTTAGGTGACCATAAACTGACCTGTGTATATTTAAATTTAACGTTACTGATCATAGTGTATTCATTTGTTGTTTTCGTATATATGTACTTGTTAATTATTTACGGTTAACTTCAGTTTTATGTGTACTTGCCATATGCGTGTCTGTTGTCTCTGCTTTAATTGGTCATCTGTAATTCATGTATTATTCACTCTATATAAGGACGAAGTCATTCATTGTTCACCGAATAAACCTTTTCAGCTTCTCCTGTCTGAATTTTCATGACTATGTGGTATTAAAGCATTTAGTCGACAGAGTATATATGAAGTCAAGTAGGATATACATGTCACCAGGATCAGTGTCGTTCAATCATAATGGAGTCCATTTACGGACACTGGAATACAACCTTGTGGGGCTCTGTGCAATGATCGAAACCACTGACTGGATAAACCACCGAATTTTAATGACTTAATGTACCAACGTGGTTGAATGTTCATTTGTGATAGCCTCCTGATATGTCTCAATGAGAATAGTGAATGCTAACTGCTGGGATCCATTCATGGATTAACACTATACATACATTGTTTTCTCATAGATTTGTACCGAAAAATTCTGAGTTGGTCTATGTGATGGGAAATGTGTCGACAATGGGTTCCAAAAAAGGCTTGATGATGATACACTAATGTAATCCAGCTCATGTAAATGTTGGATTCATAGAATGATTCAGTAGCACAGGGATTCGTATTTATTGTTTTGTCTACATCTCGCCAATTTGATTGGTCTTGTTCCGTACTCAGTTACTGTAAACGTCAAATGAAAATTACTGTAATTACATGCCGATATGGCTGATACACTTATGCCGCTACCTGTTAGTTTTATCATTGTACTATCTTTAATTAACTGAATAACTATCTTGTTTGGCTTCGTTAGTTGTTCTTGAGGTCGTTAATTACCAAGAACTAAATAGGCGTATTTACATCAGCTATATATCACAAACATCGGGAGTATATCCAATGAATTAGTAAATTAAGAAAGCTGAAATTATTTAGAATTTCCACCCATTTCTCAATCTAGGTGATATAATGCAGGCGAAACTAGTTTGTCAATGATCTCAGCGTAGAACTCGATACGGTTGTGTGTTGATTCTTGTTATCAAACTTCATATCAGTCCAGTAAGTTCAATAAACAAAGATAAAAACCACGTGGTAAAAATGACGTCACCGAAAGTTTTATAAAAGCAAACATCGGAACAGCAGTCTAAGAGAACGAATAAAAGCCAACTAGAAATCTGTTTAACACTGGATTTTCAGATCTAATTAATGATTTACTAGAATTCAAGACACTTTTCAACAATTTCTCTGTTGTTTAAAGTAATACCAGCTTCTGTGAGATCTTTTTTTCTTCGTTTCAAGACTTTGACGGAAACTTGGTGGCGCTTGTGAATTAAACCCTCAAATGAAGTAAAATTTCAGTGCATTGAATAACTTTTATCTGTTTACTACCAATTTTGTTTGTAAATATTCTGATGTAATGAGCTATGTTATGCTTCTGTAGCAGTAAAGTTTGCCATATGGACTAATTTCTGGTGGTTTTGTTTTATAAGTTAGGTGATTTGACTGTCGATTTTTAGTTGTTATTCTGGACAAAATCTTAAACCCCCACTCCACGTAGAAGTGAGTTTTCTGGTTGTTCCACAAACACTACATCTATCTGTTCCCATGGCCATGTTTATTACTTGGTACCTTCGTACACTTTGTTACCTTCATTTGTCGTTGTATTCGTATCGACTGTTTTTGCTGGTTGAAATCTAACACTATGATTAATTGGCCTATTTCATGTAGGTTCGTAGATTGGGTGGACATCAATGCACCTGTTTATTCCCAACGGACTTAAGTGTTTTCCCCACGGAGGTTCCCTGGCCGTCTTGGGATTTCTCTTACAGATAGTTTCGAATTCTCTCTAGTTAAACTCACGTCCATGGTTGTCTACATATGTCGATATCAGTGACACCATATCACGTCTCTCTATTGCTGATCCGTGTTCATTTATGGATAGATGAGGAGGACGTTCAATTTGTTCAGTGTGATAGGTCCCGTAGTTGGTGCAATTTATTTTGTAAATGATGTCTCATTTCTCTTCTTTTGTTGTTGTCTTTTGGTCTGTATAGAATGAAATAGAGCGGTTGCATTGGTTTGTGGGCGACGGTTATTCCAAAGAGCTTTAGAGCCCTTGTGATGATTTCTGAGATGAGTTTCGCACATCGTAGGGCGATCTGTTTCTTGGTTGCCAGATTTGTTTTTTTACTTCTGTGATTAGTGTCTGGACATAATTCGTTTTGTATGCTGTTGTAGCTTTTAATACTTGCTTTGTGTACCTTAGTTTTTTCCATACTTGTTTTTTACGTCCCTCTGTTTACTCTGTTGCCTAAAATATCAAAGAACACGACCCTGTCTTCTGTTTCTTTAATTGTAAATTTGCTGTAGTTGTTAACGTCGACCAACCTACGAATATTTGCAAGTGATCTCTCTTCAGGATAACTAACATGTCACCCGCGTAACCTCTTCTAAATTGATGTGGTAATCATAAAACTAAACAGGATGTACCTGAATCCTAGAGTGTGTTGTTTGCCTGTATGTTTACTCATATGGCTAACCCACTAACATCTTAAGAGTTGAACTTAGAACTTAGTGGGTGATTGTTGTAGATACTGTCTATAGAGCTCTCGATTACTCAAGAGATGAAATCTTGGGTTGAAGTGGAGATACGTTATCAAACATGCTCATGATTACTACCGGTGTCACCAATTCCGGGGGTAGATCTATATAGTAATACTGTGGCGCTGTCGATCGTCTACTCAATAATGTGTACTTTTTCAATAGATTTGTGACTACATTTTATAAAGCCAGCTCAACAAAAAATGAAGTTTATGGAATACATTTTTCCTCTCTTTTGCTTCGATACTTTATGGAAACAGTATGGGAAAATTACAAAACTGGACATTTAGGTGAAAAAATGTCTGACATGAATGCATGAAATCTCATAACGTTATACGCTAGCTCGAATCTTGAAATTAAAGAAGTGTTCACGTGATTTAATAGATCATCTTGTTTTTATTATTTTGAGCTTATCTCTAGAAACTTAGGGAAGGTCCACATCCATCTAAGTTATAACTTTGGTTCGTATAACCAGATATACATATATCTTTGGTGTTGTTCTTTGTTTATCAGCAAACATCCACAATATATTTGTTTTCTATTTTTCAACCCACCAGTTTACTTGGGCGTGTGATATTAAGATCTTATCTTGCAGTCTTTGGTTCTTATGAACCATGTTGATCCCTGAAGACCAAATATGGATGGTCGTTGTTGGTTTCATAATAGCTTTTATTCTTGCTTTTGGAATTGGTGCAAATGATGTGGCAAATTCATTCGGGACTAGTGTTGGGGCCAAAGTATTAACACTGAAACAAGCTTGTATTCTTGCTACAATCTGTGAATTAAGCGGTTCTGTTCTTTTAGGTAAATTTAGTTTGGTTATATATATACGTACGTGCTTCTTCAGGTGCTAAAGTTTCCAATACCATACGGAAAGGTATTGTTAGTGTCGAACTTTTTCAAACCATCGACAACGGGCATGTACTCTTGATGGCCGGACAGGTTGCTGCTCTGGGTGGTAGGTCTATGAAAATAGTATTTTTTTCACTATATAATTTTTTTCTGGATTTCAAAAGTAATCAACTACATTTAATCTCTGGTGCTAACGGTTATACATGAATTAAATAAAACTGATAAGATAATAATTCTCCTAGTGATAATGAGCTATTTTACTTTATATATATCAACGTTCGCTCGACCATAGCTGCTATCGATGTGGTGGTCGGACTTGCCTATCGTGATGATTCTACTGAACAACGTCGGGGTAAGCACTTGTTTCTTTAGGTGCTGCCACACCAGGGAGGTCGGTTGGAAGACGGTAATACTAAAAGCAGCAACTTAAGGCCGACAGGCCAGATCGTACTGCTGACTGTAGTGGAGTGTGGGTGCAGTAAGGTGTTTTTTTCGGACAACCAGCATCTGCGTCCGGCGGTAAGGCGTTTTGAAGTGCGAAGCAAACTCATCAAAACGTCCCATATAAAGCCCGTGCGCAACTGGCCTTAAGCAGTTGTCCCTTGGGCTCTGTAGTCACACTCCTAGTTCACCAAGACCGCCACTAATTCAACATCCTTTTCAGGTCCCTCAAGAAGAAATATCTTTCCGCGGTGTGGGCAACCGGAAAGTGACAACCATTCTAACACTACTATCAGCACCCGATATCATCTTATTGACGATGGAACCACTCCTTTATCCTAATAATTCTTTCATCCCCATGAATAACCCTTCTAACTTATCTTTATCACCACGTGCCACTAACATTAATGATTTCAGTTCACGAAATGTTATTTCTGGCCTCTTGAAACTATGCTCTAAACTATATGTTGAAGCTTTTAATATTCGAACCTTGTGTCGGATGATACAACATGCTCCTTTAGCTAAAACCCTAGAATCTTGCGCCATCGACGTGTAATGCGTCTCCAAAACGCTCATACAGGGTCCAAGTACAGTCATTCATTTGACCTCACCTTGTCAGTATAAAGAATCGGGACGATTTGCCCTAAAAGTGACTGGAGACCCCACTGCTAGTTCCCGTGACCTCGCTGGTGTAGGTTTAGCATTAAATTCCAACTTAAAACAGGCTTTCCTAGACGGGACTCGAATAAACAGTCGCTTGTGTGCTGTCCAGCTAAACGAGACAGGAAGAACTCGATAACCTCATAGATGATATCATCATCACACTAATAAAGTTGTAAGTTCGATTTCGGACCAAACGCATCCTGCAAATCTGGACAGACGGTGTACATCTCGAACTCTATGGGTGTGATAAACGGACAAAGTGGCTGACTTAGTAGATGAGGAACTCAATTACTTAATCTCTAATCCGATGCATTCATCATCACCGGTACAGCAGCGACATGGACATGCTCAGATCGCATTATCCTATATGTACTTTGTCTTCGTGTCAACTCTGCTCACTTATCGTTTTGATGGATCGTCCCATTATGACTATAATTATCATATTCTCATCATTACATTAATGTCATATGAGATGGTGGAGATTTGTAGCTCAGGTGGATGATTTTGGTGGAGTTTTGTTCTCTGAGCTGGATGGTTTGGTCGTGTCGATGGCTGTTGTCAAGATTTCCAAGTGTTCTGACGTAAGTGTCCTTTGTAGCTTCATCTTTTGGTCCTCTATGACGTGTTGGTATTTGCGGATTCTGTAGTGTAAAATCCGTTATCATTAGGTGTACCATTTTTCTTCCACTTTGCTCAGCTATTTTCCATCCTAATGGGCAGTTGATTGGAGGTCTATATCTGACACTTGTTGGTAGAACATGCTGGCGAAGACACTCATGGAGAAAATATAGTTGTTCTCGAGTGGAAGCCTGCCTTTTGGCGAAATTCTCCCATTTTCGAACAACGAGAAGCGTATTACGCTCATATGATTTTGAGATGGTGGAGAAGATTTGTAGCTCAGGTGGATGATTTTGTTGGAGTTTTGTTCTCTGAGCTGGATAGTTTGGTCGTGACTTAGTAGATGAGGAACTCAAACGACTTAATCTCAGCTCAGAGAACAAAACTCCACCAAAATTAATGTCATATCATCACCTAACGTGGAATTATTATTTTTGTTCGTGCTGACATTGGATTATGACATATACACAATCATATCACTCACCGAAGAAATTATAATTTTATGAACATTCCATTCACGTTATAACATTTGAAACTCACTGGACTGTTTTCTATTATTCAATAACGTAAAACTTTCTTGTCTTGAGTGAGTCCGCTCAATTTTTTTTCGTGCCATTTCCGCCCTATTTTTACACACATTTACTTAGGCGAGATCATTTTAATGCTATACCAAACATTTTTCATTTCGATATCATTTATTATGTCTGTGGATGCCTTTAATTCTGATAAGCCTTTTGCTAGGATATCTCATTTTTATTTTGTTCTGGGTCAATTATCGCATCAATGACTTAGTTATTATCTTTCATTTTTGCGGACATATGGCTATCACATGTCATATATTTCCGATATATTTACTACCTGCTCATACATCAAACAACTTGCAACCTACTTATTCTCACGGTATATTCCTCTGTCATACCCATGAACGATTTATCACTCTGTTTTCATTCAAACAGTCACGAAATAAATATATGTTAATTTTTTGTACGCTTGATAATTTGCTCATAATCGCATGCTAACATTCCATTTTTTGTCCCCATCTTTACAATATTCATGTACTTTTTTTACATAAGTATGACAATACATTCACTCCTTACGCGACACTACTCTATCAGATACAGTAAAATTTTTGTTCGCTAGTTATTGTTTTCGTTAACCGCACACATCTTCTGTGTTAATTTCGAAAACAGACATTTTAAGGTTAATTTGCTATTTTCTACAGGGGGCTTTGACGTGCTGGCACTATGTCAAGCCCATATAGCTTATTCTAGCTTTCGGACAGGCCAATTCATTCATTCTCCTTGAGTCACATTTTTGACTTTGTTAATTATTCGCTTATCAACCTTGACCGTTTTTATGTAAGCGTATGTGTGTGCATTTGTTATTCGACTCATCACATGTCTGTAACCTGTTTTTTGTCTGACTAGAAATATTGAGTAACTCTTGGTTCAGTTGATTTGTTTGACATGTCTTCTCCGGTTCGTTTCGCTTCACTCTCTCCTCTTCTCTTCCTTCGCTCCGTCTTTCTGATTGTCTATTCCGATCAACGATTGTATAAAATATACGTATTCAAAACCCATTCTTGTATTTGTCTTACTTTAATTCCGTTATTCACTAATGCGAGTTAAGTCGAGGATTGGCAACATGTATATATCTCGATAACAATCAGAAACGATCTAACTGGAGTCAGATATAATGCCACTAGAAGTGTATTTTGAGATCACGGAATATTCAATGTCTGGGTTAGGAATAGAGTACTAGGCAAATCGATTGATGATCTAATAAATCTACATCAACTGAGGTGTTTGGGACATGTGTTGCGTATGCCCAACCACCGCCTACCTCGACAGTCGATGTTTTCTGGTGCAGGAGTAGGCTGGAGGGAAGCTATGGGGCAGCCAAACCAAAACATGACATCAATCCATGGAGTCACTGACAACTGGATTTAACTAGTGTTAATAAGTACTACGTGGTCGGGGCTTGCGTGATTATCGTAATCAATGGTTGGAAACGTTGAATGACATGGCTCTAAATCGTTTGGAACGGCTCAGGTGCATCCATTCTTTGTCGTTATTCTGCTAATTTATATTTTCTTTTCGAGTCATATCTTCGATGTCCAATCTTGCCTATTACCACTGATACTGTTACTACCTCTACTATTCTAGGATCTGGCCTGACAACAACTTCATCTCTCTGTGCTATTGGGGTATTGCAATTTGAACCGATATACATGCGTATAGGTTCTACGTTGTGATTGACTAATATCAACTGTTAAATTACAGTTGTTACCAAACTGTTTAATGTCTTTTGCACAATAAAACATTTGATGGCAACTTTAAAAATCTTAAATACTTAGTCAGTTTTAAAAGATTTTATTATTCCAAAACAATGACGTACTTATTACAATATTGATAAAATAATTGTCAAGTTATTTGTTAGTTTTTATCCTATGTTTGAGTGAAACTGTGTGCAGAATCCAACGTAGTTTTTGTGATTATAGTTTTAATGTCAAGTTGGCACATTTATACTCCATGTTCTTAACAAATATTTACTTCTCTCAAGGTGATTACTAATTTCCTGTTAAAATAATCTTTGTTGTAAAATAATTTGTGACTTATCAAAATTTATTATTGGTTGCATTTGTGATAGGCATATTTTTTAATGCTATTTATTTTTATTGAATAAAAACGAACCCATTAGATATTTGTATACTTGTTTAGCAAATGTTGTATTTGCTTAAAGCCTGTAATATTGGCTCTAATGAACTCATGACAAGCAGTTAAATGTATACACTGTTATTATGTATTATTCAATTTGGGATTAACTCTAACATTTTGAGATTATTTCAGGTATGTAGCATAGTTAGTATAATGGTTAAAAGATAACTTCTTACAGTTTTCTTAATCTCTATTCTGACGGGCGCATATCAGTTAATTAAACTCGAATATCAAATAATTGACATTAAGTGGATGTATTTCATAATCATAAGCTTTTATCATCAGTAAACTGTATTCATAGAATTATACATATACTGATAGAGTTTACGGAGATATTCACTATTTCGAGTAACTTTTTTCTACCATTTCCTGTTATATTTGTTTCATTTGTCTATAGGTTCTTGTATTTGGCTTTTGGTTGCTACATTCTTCCGTCTTCCAGTCTCTGGCACACATAGTATTGTAGGTGCAACGATGGGTTTTAGTCTTGTTGTTTTTGGACTCAATGCTATTCAATGGAAAGGACTACTCAAAATTGGTAAGAGTTTTTTTTAATATAAAGATAATGAACATGATAATTATTTTTCTGAATACACTTTTGATAATTTAATGAGAATAAATTATTTAGTAGTGATATTGTTTACTCGATACTGCAGTAGTTATTTATTCGTGTAGTAGAGATTTTAACCCTATATGAATGATTATGATTTCATACGAATTCATAACTTTGTAGTTTGAGTCCCATTTCAAACTTGAACAGCATGAATTCTACTTGTTAGTAAAGTTATTATTACCATTTATAAATGTTTAGAAATGTAAGTAATTTGTCCCTTTATGCGTCAAATGCTTAAGCATTATTGCTCCTCACAGTATCTTTATGAATTAAACTATTTTTCTTATGATAGCTATTGCTATTGGTAAAATCTAGTTCCCTTTTGATAAATAAATAACTGCTTAGGCCTAGACAACTAGACATGGCTATCTATATAATGTACTTTATGCACCTTGATTTTCAATAATAAACTACAGAATATTTCGTAAATTTCACTTTGTTGTATTCTTATGCTGGAGCGTAGGATAATCCACATGATTTAGAAAAGCCTAACAGAAAACGGATGATTTGATAAAACCTAGGAGAGATTTTAAATCATAAGACATTCTGATAATTAATAAGCTATAAAAGTTACATTACAAAATCTAAACATAGTCTGTTTTTCCTTATTATCGCTTTTTAACTACGTTGGAATCATAATACGTCGAAATTTTTTGTCAGTCTGAGGTTGTGGAGATTGTTGAGTTTCAATGGAATCACAAACCGATTTAAATCAGACAGCCATCCGAAAATTGGAAGCACTAGACTCCTAAGTAGTGTGTACCCACGATCCCAGAACCGGGATTCGAACCCAGGACTTTCTGTCTACAGAACAGAGGTGATAAGTGTTAGATTTTATATACGTATTATGTTTTGTATATATGGTTATACGTTTTGGAACAGTTTCTACTGCACACTATGTATATAGTCAAACAGTTTGTTCCTGGATTAAACTTACTTTATTGATGTGTTTTCCCATGTTAGGTGATCAGGATTAGACGGTATATTTCATCATCTGACTCAACAATGATTGTATGTGTTCACTCAGCTGATTTCTACTATTTATGTAAAATTATATGCATATGCAAATTCTGTCACAATGATGGTTCCACAAACAACGCAAAAATATAATACACCGAGTTGCTTGAAGTAATGTTTCGCTTTTCTATATTTAGAACAAAATCAAATAATAGTAGTCTCAGTTTTTTGAAAACGAAGTTAACATAGATCTATTTCGCAGTAGAATGAGGTATCTAAGATCCAAAGCAAAACTTACATCTGATTTATATTTACAGGAGAACACTAGATACAGTCGTTTGAGTATGATGTCATCGGTGCAAAGATATATTTCCTATTTATTTTTTCTTCAAGTAGTGAAAATTTAATCGTTTCTGATCAGTTTGCTATTTGTTCCATTGTTTATTTGTCCTTCGCTTTGGTATTTTAGAAATAATATTTCTTTTCTTGAACAAACATTTCTGTTTGCCTATATTCTTCGTGTTTACTTCAACACTTTTCTCTTTTTGCTCCGCTATGAAATACTACAATTAGTTAGTATGTATTTATTATTCATGGTTTGATAATGCTGAGTCTTCACCACCTAATTCTGAATAGTACTTGCTGTAATTTAAGTGATCACATTAGTTGGATGGGAAATCTATATATTCTATGACGGTAGTGATTTATATAATAATGGACTAAGATAAACTAAATATAATGAATAATCTCATAGACCAAATAATAGTTTTATTCCTTGAACTACTGAGCAGTTTTATAATCATAATAATAGTGTTGTAAGTAATTTAGAGAAGAAACATGATACTATTTAAATACTGTAACTTACATTGTATTTCTAGGCTTTACTTTTGATTCACATTGGTCTTTTTTATTGAAATTTACATGACTTTCCCTGTTTAAATAAGAAAAAATACACCTTTTCGAGATTTACTTCACATTAAAAATACTGTAATAAATTCCATCATTTTCAGGATTTTATTATATTTTGCCTACATTCGTGTCTATAGCATGACAGTTCAATCAAATATTCCAAATTATTGAGTAACAATAATAATAATAATATTTACATGCTTATGCCTGTTACCCATCGTGGAGGAGCATAGGTCGTCCACGAGCATTCTGCAGCCAACACTGTCATGGGCAATCCTTTGCAGTTTTTTCCAGTTGCAATTCATCCTTTTGATGTCTTCTTCTAATAATGATTATAATTAATTTACTGTCCTACTTATTGACACTTTATACTTATAAGGATTGAATAAGTATTAACTTTTTTGTATAATATATTCATACTGCATAATTTGATAACTTGACTGTTAATCATCCTGTTTTTACATATTATATTTTATGCAACTGTACATGTAGAACTGTTCATTTTATTTGTTTGTACATAAATATGGAATGCTATCATGGCCATATTATAGGATGGTAACGATAGCTAATGTTGTTATTGGATAGAATTGACTTTAATCGTGTGACTTGGACCTTATTTTCTGTGTAATTCCTTTCATTCGTTTTTATAAACTATAAATCAAATATTTTCATACAGAGCTTAGTTAAGTTTTCCCAAAATAGTTTTTTAAAAAAAACTTGTAAAGGGCTGTAAATAAGTAGTATATTTGTAATATCCTAATGAGTAGAAAATTAGATTTTCTGACGTTTCGTGACTTAGTGTAAGTCATTTCTTCAGAGAATAAATAACCAAATTAAACTTGGATTAATTTTAGTTTGGTTATTTATTCTCTGAAGAAGTGACTTACACTAAGACACGAAACGTCAGAAAATCTAATTTTCTACTCATTAGGATATTACAAATATATTATTTATTTATAACAATCTACCCAATGCTCAATTCATTCGAAATTATCAAATCAAACCTTGGTAATGATACCTTGTAAAGGGCTAGTTATCTTTTTTTAAAGTGGGATAAATTTGTTCAGTTTCTTCACTTGACTTTAGATACATTCATGCTGTATAGACTTATGTTAATTGAGACGGCTGGTCTGTTAAAAAAAATTTTTCATTTTGGAATTAGTTTTAACAAGGAATCAATACAATAATTCACCTTCTTCTAAATTTAGTCAATTAGCAATAGATAGCTCTAATAATATTCATTGTTATCGATGACTTGCTGATGAAAACTGACTTCAGAATGAATTATTCTCCATAAATTAATGAACTAGACAGAAGACATATATTCAGACTATTTAAAACGTTATCAATGAAATATGGTTTATAAACGATTTGATTACTTTATTTCTGAACATTATCTTAATGTAATTTAGTAAATATTACATCTAATATCCTTGTTGTTGATGCCTACATAATCAATCGGTATTAATACTAATGAAATGTATATCCTACTTACTTCGTATACATTCTGTCGAAAAATCATGTTTATACAACTTAGATAATAAAAGTCAAGCACGACTTGTACGTATACTTCAAACATGCTGATGTCGAATGACAGACAAACAAATAAAATGTCTACAGAGTGTACAAAGCACTGGAGTTCGGTAGTACACCGACTCAGAGAATAGTAAGGTGACTTAGTTTTTATAAATCATGTAAGAAATACAGGAATGGGATATGCATATACGTACTATTATACACAGATGTACAAAACGTGCTCAAGGTTGCACTGGACTAATTAACGAGAATAAATGTATGTGTCATAGAATAACTGGAAAGATTAGAATAAATTCTGTGCAAATGTTTGAATAAGTCACGTAGGCGTGTAATGAAACAAATTATTACATAAGCTGTGAAATTTCCTTCATTCTCCAGTTAACTGTTTGACTGCATGAAATTAAGTTTTTGGTTTATCTGTGACAAACTCCGGTGATATAACCTGTCAATATATGATTATTTGAATAAACAAGTCAATAAGTTCATATACGTTAGGCTTTCACCAAACTTTAATCACTTAGTCAAGCTCTTTAACCTGTATTTCTTGGACAACAAGATTATTAAGTATCAAAATCAAATATTTCTCTTATCGACAAATTATTTATTATATTGTATAACTAATATAACAAATTACTACAATACTTAACTATTGTTGAAACGAAAGGTATTTTTAATTCATGTGTTTGAATGATTCGGTTTGGTGATGAACAAGGAGCGAGCCATACTTTATTGATAATAAGGAATGTAAACTTAATTCTCTTAAAAAGAACTACAGGAAATCTGTTTTTAAGGAAATCTCGAATCGAAAATATTAACTGAGTTTTGTGTCCAATAAAATTTTGTCCGAACTAATAGGTTTACTAGTCAGTTTCAAACGATTTTAAGAATTCTTATTGGTAGACTAGGAAAAGTTGAAATATTCTCATGTTGACAGTAACCAATGTAGACACACTCAAAATGTAATTATTGGATGCTAACATTAACCATCTTATGTTAAACCGATCTACTTACTGATCACGAAATTTCTTTTATCATTTGATTTTATTTTTAGCCACAACATATTTCTGTGCAAGTTCAACTTACAATTGCATTGTTTTAATAATCGTTTAATTTTCTGATGTACACTTTTAACAATTACCATAAATGAATGCTTTCTAGAGCAGTAAGGGGATAAAAATGTAATATCCATTGTAAATTATGAAAATGGTGAACGTTTCTTTGAATTAATGCTAGTATTTCTGGTAACAGTACAGTATAAGGATGAGTTTAAGACAACTGCGACGAATTTCCATCTAGTTTCTAGACGATCAGAAAGTAGATTTTATAAATGGATAGGTTATGTAAAAGAATTGTATACAGATTTCATGAAATAAATCTATCAATGTCTTTTGAAAGTTACTTTGTTTGTAAGTCGAAGAAACAACTACGTATAAACTCGTCCTCATGAATATAGACCGTCCATCTTTTTGAATACTTCAAAGGACCCCAAAAAATTCTTAGGAGTCCCTACATTGTCCGAAGTTAGAGTTAGGGTTTTCATCACGAAATGGCGTCAGCTGAAGTGAAAAAATACTCTTGCCATATGGATGAATAAATTTCACTCGAGAATACAAAAGGCACTATGTGATTAGTTCGTCTATATAATGTACTGTTACCAGGTTAAAGTTTGTTACAGGATTAAAAGTTTAGTGTTAGGATTATAGGGATGGTGTTGATTTGCCAGTTATATATAATCTACAGAAAAAGGATTGATCATTTGATGCGTTTAGTAATATCATTTTTACTATACAGCTGCAAAAGATAATTATCTACAATCATTTTAAACGTTTTGAAAGATATAAGAAAGTATTTGTACTGTTGATTATACGTAATCTTTGAATTTCACACAAAAGCCTAAAATTTGCACTCTTGACTGTGAGTGGCTCGTCGCCGCACCATGCTTTTACCAGATTTCTTATTAATATTTAAAGACTGTATCTTTATAAATTGTAATTAGAAATTGTCAAGTTTGTTGCAAACTTTTCAGTTGTTCAACATGTAGACTTAATTCCGCCCGTCTGTGTTAAAGTTGGTCATCAATGTTCAGTTGTTGTCAACATCCAGATATGCATTCGTGACCAGTATTCATTTCATTAACCCAAGGGTTTACAATGTCGTCTGTCATTTTTACATGCTTATTACTCTAATTGAAGTCTCGTCGAGATTTGGGCGAGTATTTTCACAAAAATTGGTCGCGGAAGAAATTGGTTATAAATTATATCTGTAAAAATTTCAGAAATTCAAATGAAGTGCATTCAGAATTTGATTCGGCAGTCCAATCTGAGCTTCTCCATGGAAAAAGTCAAAACTATCGAAGATAGATTAGGTCGAAAGTAATTCTGACCATGGCATAATGCCTTTTATAACCACTCTATAAGAATGACATCCACATAATATATTCAACATCATATACGGCTGTTCTGATATATTTTTTTCACTGGATGATTCATGTTAATACTGTAAATGTGACTGAACAATTTAGTGTAAAATAACTCTCAACTTATTCTATTTTAGATAATTTTGATTATTTCCTTGTAGTAAACCAGATCATGCTGTTAGGTGAATTGTTATAACTATTGAATTTTAATCTCTGAGACTTTTACAAATAGAAATTATACCTTTCGTATAGCGTTTATGAATGCATCTTATAACATAGATAATATTATACAAGATTTTGTTTCAAAATATAGACTAAATGAAATAACACACCAATATTAATAATAAGCAAATAAATTAAGCCTACGAAATTAATTGTTGACTTTCTGCTATCTCCCTTGAATTTTATACTCGATAATGATTATATCACATTTTGTTTATCATCAACCTAACATGACTTGTGAGCATCATTACTTCTTAAAATAGATAACGTTGATTTGATTGTTGTTACATTGTTTTATCCATTTGAATTTAGTTGGATCATGGTTTCTCTCACCTCTTCTAAGCGGTTTGGCATCTATCGGAGTATTTTTCCTGATGCGTTTTATGGTGCTGAGAAAAGTAAGTTTTCGACTATTTTAATGCATCATATTTGATCTCATGCTCTCTTATCATAAGAAATTGGGTTAGTACTAGACTTTTAAATCAAATTTTCGAATTTGAATCCCTTACAATGTTTACTTACGAGTATGTTTTCAGAAGATTGAAACTAGTTTTGTTATTGATGGTGATGTTTGCTTGTTATTGCTTATTACACAAACGTTATTATTTTCTTTTACATTTTGATAAAATTAAAGAATGAACAAATCTGTGTAACTGCGATTGACTTTTGTTTGTGCCAAATGTAACCTCTACCAATTTATCCTTATCATCTCGTTGTCACTTAGCTATTACGGCTACACTTTAAAACCACTGAGTTCACAAACTAATGTATTTGTCTTGGTTTGCTGACTACTTTATGAATCCTTCATACGTACTAACAATATGACTGTCTTGATCAAGATGCTCTACTCACGTCCGTTTTCTAAGTAACGAGTTATGATAAGTTACTCAATGTCTGCGGATTTCTATCCCCAGCAAACATGAACATGGTTTAATGGGTTGTCTCAGCTAAATTAATGCTTCGAAGGTATTAGACTCCATACTTGTATTCGTGTTGTATTATTCCTGTTTAACAAGCATTTTTCAAATGTGCATAAAAAGGTGGTCTACCATATTTTGTCCTATACATTATACTCTGTTATCAACTCAATATTTCCGTGTTACTGTGAAGGTTAATAAGAGAGTTTACATTTAAATCATACCAGATATCTAAAATACTTTTGGGGTTATTACAATCAAACGATTTAACAATTGTCCTTGACACAATTTTATACACATGATAAAATACTTGGCTTTTATTTTTAGTGTGAGTAAGAACATTTGAATGTTAACTTCTTTTTATTATGAATAAAATCATGTTCAACCAATGACTTTCTAGACACTTAAACTTTTGAAGCTGATAAAAGACGTGACAGTTTTCTACCAATTGACTTACTCTATTTAGACGTAAATATAAGAATGATATTTTTTAAGAAAAATGTATTCGAATCTCTGATATCTGACTTTTATTTCCGGATTTGATATATTAGCAATGAGATTAACCGAGGTCTTAGGTAGAATTTGGGAACTGAACGTAATCCCATCTGACTGGTCTCAATCACTGATTGTGCCAGTCTATAAGAAAGGACGAAAGTCCTCTTGTGACAATCACAGAGGAATCAGTTTGACTAATATAGTGTCTAAAATATTAGCTTCAATAATACTTCCACGCCTAATCAAAGCTCGTGAAGAGCAGATTAGAGAAAACCAGGTCGGTTTTCGACCTGGACCTGGTTGTATAGACCAGATGTTCACACTACGTCAGGTTCTAGAACACAGACACACATTCAGACGCCCCACAATCGTAGTATTTCTCGACCTTAAGGCGGCATTCGACTCTGTTGATCGTGAGGTTCTATGGCAGTGTTTGTCACTGAAAGGAGTACCAAAGAAGTACATTAACCTTGTGAAGGCTCTCTACTCGAACACAACTGGTCGAGTGAGAGCTTATGGCGAACTGTCATCAGAATTGATTACCTCAAGTGGTGTTCGTCAGGGCTGTCCACTCTCTCCATTCTTGTTCAACTTTGTCGTCGACGTACTTCTAGAGATAACACTTTCCTCGTCTAGATTTCCAAGGGTTGAACTTCTACCGGGAGGTTCACTTGTTGACTTAGAATATGCTGATGACATAGTTTTATTTGGTGAAGACTCTGACAAAGTGCAGAGTCTTCTGACCACTGTAAGCAACAATGCAAGCATGTTCGGGATGCGATTCTCTCCCTCGAAATGCAAAATGTTGCTTCAGGATTGGGTTACATCGACACCCGAACTAGTGATAGGAAGTGAAGTAGTTGAGTGTGTCGACCGCTTCACTTATCTTGGAAGTCTCATCAGCCCTTGTGGTCTGGTGTGTGACGAAATCTCAGCACGGATACAGAAGGCCCGACTAGCTTTTGCCAATTCGCGTCATTTATGGCGTAGACGAGATATCCGTCTATCAACCAAAGGACGTGTTTACTGCGCAGCAGTTCGTTCCATCCTACTTTATGGCAGTGAAACATGGCCGGTAAGAGTAGAGGATGTTCGTAGGTTACTAGTATTTGATCATAGGTGTCTTCGAAACATTGCTCGTATATCCTGGGACCATCGAGTAAGTAACACAATTGTTAGGAAACGGGTACTAGGTATAGATGGCAAATCAATTGATGAAGTAGTGAAACTTCATCAGTTGAGATGGCTGGGACACGTGTTACGTATGCCCAACGACCGACTGCCTCGACGTGCTATGTTCAGTGGTATAGGAGTAGGTTGGAAGAAAGCTAGGGGCGGCCAAACCAAAACATGGCGCAAGTCCATGAAGTCACTGACAAGTGAACTGAATCATGTTGATAGGTGTAAACTACCTGGTTGGGGACCGCGAGATGATAGCAACCGATGGTTAGAGATTCTGAATGACATGGCTCAAAATCGTTTGCAATGGCGCAGGTGCATCCACTCTCTGTGTTCTCCCAAATTCTAATCTTCTGAATTCTTCATGTCCCTTTTTTCCTCTTTCCAAATTTATTTCACTGTATTATACTCTTTAAATAACATCTCCAAACCCTAATCTTCCCGATTACTGCTTATACTATTGTTACCTCTACCACTACGGGATTTGAATCGACAACTGCATCTCTGTGCTAATGTGGTGTGGCAACTCGAACTGATGTACGTACATACGAAGTTCTACGTCTTTACTGACTGACTGACTGCGTCCTTTCGAATACGTTCTGTCGCAATTGTTTCGATATGAACGTTCGCGATCGGCCCGTCGACATATTACTTTTACGCTACTGAGGTGAGCGTCTTGGAATACTAATGAAGTCGTGTCTTTGGATCTTAGATTTCTTAATTCAATGTCGTTCTTCTGCAACTTTGCCAGACCTCGATAATCAATTCCATTTGGAATATGCGCGTTTATCGTTATTCTTGATAGTTCATCTATTACCTCGTTGAATTGGCTTTTAATATATCGTATATTCTGCGTTGTCCGAGAAATAAATTATAAATGTTGGATTTCTCTCGCAGATTAATTATCTTGCTTGGCGCTTAATGCTTTTGTGAACGGTTTATGATCCGTGTTCACAGTAAAATGTGTACATTCCGCCATATGTTGGAAACGCGTTTTGCCAAGTAAATTGCTAGTAATTCTCTTCCAAATGTACTATACCCAGTTTGTTTAGGATTCAATCTCTTTGAGATAAATAAAAGCGGTTTCCTTGTGCTATTAAATAACTGTTGCAAAACGGCTCATTTCGATGCATTCGATGCTTCAGTCATGATAGCTAGTGGCATTTCACTCCTTCTAGCTAGCATCGTCTTTTGTAAAGTGCTTTCTTGGCGTTCTCGAATGCCTGTATCGCCTCTGATAACAGATGGTACGTCCGGCCATGTCCACGCAACGTACTCATCAATGGCTGTAGTATTGCCTCACAATTCAGGATAAATCGCTTATAATAATTTATTAGCCTGAGAAATCGTCGAAACGTCTTCCGTGATTCAGATAACGTGTTGTATCGGATAGCATCGACTTCCACTGGGACTGGCGTAATACCTTGGGAAGTTACCATATGACCTAGGAACTGTAAGGGTCGCTTTCCAAATTCACACTTCTCAACGTTTATAGAGATAGCATGTTCTCATAGTCTCATGAATAGTTGTCGTAGTTGCTGTAGATGCTCGTCTATCGTATCGCTGGCTACTGGTAAGTCGTCGATTTGCGCATATACTCCTGGTATACATCTGATGGCTTGGTCACTAAATCGCTGTAAGGTTTGCGCTGCATTAGTCAGTCCGAAAGGCATGTGCAGAAATTAATATAACCCGAATGGGGTCGTTGCTGCTGTTTTCGGTATGTCTTTTGGTGCGACATGAATGTGGTAATATGCTCCAACTAGGTCAATCGTGGGTGTGTGGTATAGAATATCTGTCAGTTATTGTTCGTTTGTTAAGTTCTTGACAGTTTCTAATCGACGTCCTGACAAAAAGTCTAATGACTCGAAGCAATACCGATATTTGTTAGATCCTATGTTGGTTTTGAATGGCTGGTAAGCCGTATATTTTATCCTATAAAACTTAGCTATACAAATAACTTTAAAAGACATTACTGTTAGCTGTTTTCCATCAGCGACACTTAACTCAAATTCAAAATGACCGCCTGTCGATTTAGATAACTTAACATTTAAAATAAATTATTGTGTAGTCATGACAGTAGCCGTAGTGACTAGACTACATTACTTGAGTAGTAGATTTTAACCAATATCCCCAATTTCTTAACAATGCAGTGATGTCCATCTAATAACGTTTTCTACTTTAGTCATTTTTATGTTCGTATTTAATGAGATTTGTCGTGTTGTCAGACTACTCTTCCATTATTTCTAATTTCATTCTTTTACGCAAATCCAACATGATTTATTCTTCTACCAGACAATATTTGTTGGGTTTAATTTAAGTTATTAATCTTATCTCTCTACAAAAGCTCATCACATACTAGTCATATAGACATGTGTGTGTATATGTTGACGTGTGTGTGTCCATATTTCTTTAATACATAACAATCTAATGAAGACCGAAGTCGGAAAAACACGGGAAAGAAAACTGATTCTATAGTTGTTTCTGATTTTGTTGTCGTTATTAGTTTTCTCTGTCATTCTTTATGTACGTGACATTCTTTTATGTGCATTGTTATTGCACAAGAATGTCTATAGAGTGTTTTAGTCGGTATATGTGTATATATCCTGTGTGTTGGTTGAATCTTATGTAAAATCACTATTTTACACTGAACATTTGTTTCTTTAAAAATGGATTTCGTTGTTGTTTTTTTTCACTGCTTTCACTCTACATTTATTTGTTTATGTTTAGGAATTTGTGACACAATTATTTGTGCAGATTTTAAAAACAAAACAAACATTGTATATATATATAATTCGTAGGCAGACAGTCTACTCATAGAGCAAGTCGAATGTAACTGACACAAAGATGTGAACAATGGTATCTGCGTAATATATTTGTAAAAATAACACATCTTTTCCAGGACTACGTAAAACTATAAGTAAAATAATCTGAGTAATAATATTGTTATTCAAAACGATATATATATATATATATAACCTTGTGATTTGCCGTTTCAACTCAATAGGCTTGAATAGTCCGTGATGGATAAATGGGCATTTATTATTTATATAGAAGTCATTCCTCTTCTTATCTTAAATGTTTATTATTTTATTGATAGACAGTGAAATAGCTGTTAGCATACTGGCTGTTTTTTGAATCCGTCAGTTAGAATAATGATGAAACTAGTAAATTCTAACAAAAAGTTTCTAAACATTTCTGGTTTCTGTATTTCCAAGTTAGTTCCTAGTGTGAATGTTTACAAGTGAAGGATGAAATACAACCGGAGTCTTGATCAATGCTGAATAAGGATTTTTAAGTTTTTTCGCTGAATATACAATTAGTGAGGTTCATTGATCTCTCCGTTTATATCAGTCATATGTTTCTGATCATTTACTTATACCACATGTAGTCTATCCAGATTTCAGGTTCCACTAGTCTTATTTTCTATTCAGTCTATAATAAGACAAACATCCACATTATTCACGTGTATTAAAAGAATTAACTGTATGTTATTTCAAATTGTTCAGAAACAAACATAAATCCATCATACAGTCATGTGAATTAAAATTAAGTTCATTCCGTAAACTGAACAAGTGCAATTTTATATATTCACTTTTATGTATTCACTTTAATTGAGACACAAAACTTTATTTTATCATGAAATTAGTTCATTTAGAAGTAACTACTCTAATAAATGTTTAGTTCCAACTTTAATGGTACGATTCATGTAAAAAAACTATATTGAAATTAAGTGTAATCGAATTAAATTTCATTTATATTAGCACACTGAACAAGAAAGTATTTAGAAACTTTAATCGTAACTTCTTATCATTTAAAAATGACTCTGTGATATTATGAAATCAGTCAATCACTTTATATACCTTATGAACAATTGTGAACTTAACTGATTTTATCACTAAATATGCATGCGTTTATCTAGAATCATTCTAATTTGTTAACGAATATGTAATTTCCTTATTTCTACTCTTAAATAAATTCATTGAATTATGTGAACCGATGAACTGAATTACTGATCAAAGTTAATAAAATTCGGTGAACTTCACCAACTTTATAACATTCATGAAGTTCTCAGGATTATCCATAGTTAATTTTATCATACTGAATAATGACTTATATACAAATTTTTCTAAATAGTTACTGATACATTTCTCTAATAACACACAACATTTCTGATAATCAAGGTTACCGTATCTTTGCCAACTAATGCACTCGTTATCAACAGTAAAATGATTGTGTCAACATTATACTTACTAAATAATTAGTGCAGTCTTTATATAAATCAGCTCTAATAGGGGTGAATATTTTTCTCTGTGTTACATTACCTGGACATAGACCTTCATCCGACTATGATCACATTCTCTTCATTTTTTGTGTTTTCATTTATTCTTTTCTAAATTATGGTTATATATATTTATAAATGGTAAACCTATAATTGACTTTGTAAAGTTCATTTACACTTTGTTTTTAAAAGAAAATAGAGCAGTTTTATTCTATTTTGTTTAGAGTTTTCTTTACAATATAATCTTCAAACATTTGAACTGTAACACAAACCTCCAAGCAGATATTAAGAACAAAAATGCAGATTATCTATCAATTTTGCTTACAGTATTACATTAAGTTTAATAGAGTTACCGGTGTAACGATAATTTATGGACTACCTTTGAGCTACACTGAAGTGACCTTGAGGGGTGTTCACCTAATAACTAGGACCAAATGAGAGTTGTAAACCAGTGTGAAGAATTAGAATGATCATTAACAGTTGATGGTTAAGGTTAGGGATTAGATTTAGGGTTTTCATCACAATGGGTAAATGTCTCGCAGTCTATAATTGACCGTTGAAAACACTGATTCTGACCCAGTGAATTAGCTGGTCAGTTATGTGCAGTGTAGGACCTGGTACTTAAGTATATTGACTCAATTTGCTACACTACAGTATTACCAATCAAATAGAGGTAGTAGCATCAGCGACAGTAAAATAGATCAGTCATAAAGAATATGATTAGAGAACAAATGATAGATGACTAATAATGTCCTAGTAAAGAGCCGTCAATTTTTGACACATCTTTTTTAATGGTAAATACTTCCACAAAACGTCTCGATCACTAAAGCCAAATACTGCCGTCGCGTCAAGGAATACTATCTTTATCAGAAGTCGGTTAGTATGTTTATGTTCTGTAAAAGTGCGAAGATTTGGTCGGTGGATCGACACCTTGTTCTAAAACCATGCTGACTTTCTAAGGCTTCCAGTTCACTACCCTTAATTAAGTGTTGGGTTATTTTTGAGACGGCTATTCTAGACAATACAGATCGAAGGAATTCCTCTGTGGTTATCAGAAGTGGATTTATGTCCTTCCTATTTAATTAATACGATCAGACGCCATTACGTGCCAATTCTGCACTGATGACGATGTGGTTTACTTGAGTCCGTGTTTGAGTTGGCTTTGCTGGTCGCTACGATGGACAATGTTTCTCTTTATGGGCATTTTTAGGTTTATGAAAGTTAGGGATATTTTCATAAAATTGATCGTTTTCTTTTTCCGAACTGCAGTTGGTTTGAGCGCTGTCAGAGACTGGAAGAATGTAACGGTGTTTTTCTTTGTCGTGTTGGGTTCATACAATACTATTCAAGTGGACGGCGCGGCGCGCAAGTAAAGGTGCAGTCCAGAAGACCTCGTTTTGCTTTTGGATTAAATGAAATAGTTACACAATTTAGGAGAGTGACTGTATGGCGTAAGCGATAAGTGCTTGAGGCCGGTTACACGCGACCTTTCCATGAGGATTTTTAATGTGTTAGCTCTGTACTTTAAAAGGCATTCCCTTCTCAGTCAGAAATCTTTGATACATGATGAAGTGTGATATATTTGTAACCTGTCTTCTCTAACACCTGCTTTCTATTGTCGAATGAGGTGATCTCTGGAGATCCTGGTTGTTGCGATCATATTCCAGTACAGTTTTTAACTGAACCGTCTCGCGTAGTTGGACCTCAGAGGAACGAGTGTTCCCGTTAATATTCTTCTGTTGGGTCACGACGATAGGTGGACTCGACCACCATACCGATGTGGAAATCTCCGGTAGGGACTTATTATCATCTAAGTTGCCGCGAGATCGTAGCTTGATAACGTGTGAAGTTGTGAATGTGTGCTATTGATAAGTTGTCAATATGGCCGAAACAGTCACCAATAATTCTGTGGCAGTTTTCAGTAGTGTTTTAGGTAAAACCAGTTAATGATAAAATTGATTTCAAAATAATATCTTGGTTTCTAATTATGAAAGGGATTGTCTTACTGTATGAACAGAAATTTGTGCTGATATTGTGAGCTACTGGCTTGTACACCTAACATGCTAATTAATTGCACACAATGATTATAACCACCTCACTCCAAACTATTTGGAACATGATTAAGCTTAGAGTGACTAATACTGAACTAAGCTCATTATTATTGTATTTCTATGTCGCTCGAATGTTTCTAAATCAATTGTGCAATAATCGATAGTCTAGTGCGTGATGTGTTGTCTTTATTTGAACATAAACAACATTCGAAAGACAAAATAAATCCATAAAAAATATACCGCTAGTATTTTAACAGTTTATTCGATTAATAAACTGTCAAGTGAGTGCATATTTTATAAAGTTAACTATACAGTTATTCGTTTCAAAGGGAATATTTCGAGATGTTTTATTCTCACTGTATTAATTACTGTTTATATTTGACCAGATATTATGGTTATGAATATAATTGGTAATGTTAGGACCGATTTGTCAATGATTTGTTTGTCAACGTGTTTGAATCAGGTTAACTGCTTTTGTGAAAGTACATACATAAGCCTTACCCATAACTCCTTTTCTTAATTATGTACCTTCATGGTTATGACAGGTTATCAGATCTATAAATAGCGCTATGATTTCTAATCCGGAATATAGAATAAGATTTTTCGGTTCATACCAGTTATCGAATAATTCACTAAACGGTAAAAATACTCCTCCATCATATCGTAAGTGCCATCGTGTACAACTAGAAGAATTCTTACTTATGAAGATGAAAGTTCTGAGTATCCTTAATTTTTTTAATAAGTTTTATTAACTGATCAACAGTTCCTTTTAATATTCAGATCACCCTGTTCGACAACTATCATCGTAAGATCATAGTGACCGCACAATAATATAGATTACTGAAATCCAAACAATCGAATGGACTGCGTTATACTTTATGTAACTTTCTAAACATTCCTAGCGTGTAATTAAAGTATTTATGTCAGATGTTACGTTGTAAGTGAAACCAGCCATGAATATGAACAAAGGTGTAAAAACTGTAACGTTTATGTTACTTTCATGTAACCTTGTATTAATGAAACCGTGCATATATATGTACAGTAAAGTTTAATTTTAATCTTAGAGGTGTGTTTATTTATTCATTCGTAAAAGGTTATTCTTAATTTCAAGTGAAATCATTTTAGATGACCGCTGATGAATAATAGCACAACGTGTAAATACATTTGTAATTTTGTGCATTGTAAACGCTAAAATGAATAAATAAATCTTAAAATTTATTTACTAAATCACTGTACATACTTGGAAGTGTTTTCATTGATTACAAATGTTTATTAACATGCCCGTCATTGTTTTTTTTATTAAAGTGTTTTTGTTATTTGTCTATCGAATTATAAACTTACTATTGTAAGAGGATATTGTAAATATATATAGATGTATCCTATTATTTGTGGAACGAAGTATCTTGGAGTGTTTAACATTGTCTATTTAATTATTTATTTGTTTTACAGGAAGATCCTCTTGAACCTGCACTTAAACTTATCCCAGGTTTTTTCGGCACAGTGGTTCTGGTCAATAGTTTTTCAATATTTTACGAAGGACCTTCATGTACGTTAGCTGCAAATTGTCATCGATATTTTCATTAAAACGACAGTTGTTACGTTTGTTGTAATAGATATTTATTTAAGTGTTGAAATTGTTTGATAATTTGTCAGTGATGAAAATAAATATTGGTGTATTTCGCGGATATTTTTATAATGTGGATTGTTACTAAAATGCACTACAGAACTTATTTGATGGTAGCTTTCTGGACATTTTACTTAAATCTAGCACGAAATGCACTTGACTGGGATAAGTTAACTAGTTTTTTCAATGCTTTTATCCATTCGAATCAAGTTTCCGTATAGTGTATCGGTTTAAAGTGTTTATATAAGTAGCGATTTCTATGCACAAAATTGAACTATACAACCGGTATGGTAAGAATAATGAATTAATCTAGAA